GGGATCCTGCCAAACAAGGAAGGGAGCTATCACAGTGGCTGGGGATACGTGGCCCTAGCATGTAGAGGAATTATACTACAAGAAATATGGAGGGCCAGGAATTCGCAGGTATTCAAGAATAAAAAGGTGGTATTCCAAGAACAACGACACCAGATAATAAACAACATCCGGCGAACAATCATGGCGGACTGGCAAGGCACCTACAAAAGTGAGAGAAAAGGCTTCCAGTGGTTTATAGGGACGTGGGCGAACAGGGGTATCTTTGTCTCAGTCTCTACAGATCGCAAACTCTCTTTTTCACAGTGGTTGAAACCACCCTGAAGAAGATGTGGTGCTACCAGAAGAGGGTTTACAGTTGGAACCGCAGAGGGAGCTTGTTGAAGATATGTTTGGGGGAACTAAGTATAGGGTCGTATTAGACTCGAGAGGATCTGGTGGGAGATAATTGGGTGTTTAAGATCTTTGGTGATCAAATGATGTGAGCTCTATCTGTGCTTTTTAAGACGAGTTATTTGGCTCTGTTACGAGTTATTGGAGTCTCACTGAGAAGCCGTAGGAGCAAATGCTCACATGGAGGAGGACATGGATTGTCAAAAATGATGTTTATGTGAGTCCTCACTGACTGCTAAAGCAGTCCACTTTTTTGGAACTTCAAGGTAATTTGGAAAGTTGTTGAAATTAGTAAGGGGACACTGGACCCGGTTTCCAGCAGCAGATAAGTTGTATGAGGACTGTAGAGATATTGCGAGCTTCGCTCGGAAGCGAAACTGGCTGCGGCTGCCAGGATAACTCCGGGTTGAATTGTGAGGTCCCCGGCCTCTTCCCAAATTGTTTTGCAATATAAATCGACACTTTTTAAAAAAAAAAAAAAAAAAAAAAAAAAAAAAAAAGGTCAAACGTGTCCCAAGCTGTCCCAAGCTGTCCCGGTATCAACTACCCCAAAATTACCCCAAGCTGTCCCAAGCCGTCATGGGCTGTCCCCGTATCAACTACCGTTGGTCCCAGGCCATCCACCCCAAAGGGTGCGCGGGTGGGGGATGCCGCGCCGCCGTGTTTGCCACACGTTGCACGTCTGCGCGGCGGGGCGGCATTGTCTGTGTGTCGGGCGGGAGAGAGAGAGAGAGAGAGAGAGAGAGAGAGAGAGAGAGAGAGA